AACTCTCTCGACACCCAGGCAGGAAGCTCTTTTCCGACTTTTGTTCAGCACCTTGGGGATATGCCCAATTGACCATAACCAATTGGGCATATATATATATATATATATATATATATATGTTAACAGCTGGGTGCCTCGAGGCGGTGTTATGGTTAGCAAGCTTGTCTCGCTAGAACAATTACCACTGATTAGTGAGTTCGATTCTCACTCGGTGCCCCCTACTTTCGGCCTTGTGCCACATCTAAGTTACGCTTGGAAAATCACTATATATATTAACAGCTCCACTCAATTAAGAACAGAAGTCGTGAGAGCTTATTAATACTACACTGCATTCTTGAGTTCAACCATAGCGACCCCACGCCGAAAGATCCTTTTCATTGTACCTGTTTATTGCCTTTTTTCTTGGTGTGTAGCTTTGATATAAATTGACCAGCCTATAAGATATTCGTTTAGTGTAACGGTTATGGGCTTGGAAAGTGGAATTGGCTAACTGAGTCCAAATTCCGTCTTCGACGTTCACTTTTGCACGAATTCCCTTCGGAAAAGGGACGGATTCATTGTTACCCCGCTCACTATGGTTTAAATAGCCTTCAAGAAGAAAGACTCTGAATTCTAAATCATGGATAAGGCAACGGAAAACCATTTCCCTCTCTTTCCCAAAAGGCATGGGAAATCATAGATAATGAAGAAAAAGAATCTGTGGAGAGCCATGCTCGCCTCAAGGGACTTGGTATTGGTATCCAATTAGCGTTGTCTTGACTACTTTTTGGGTTTCTTCTACTGAAACTTTCTCGAGTTCAAGTTAAAGATTTCATTTACAATATAACTAGAATCCTTCTTTATTAGTTGTCCGAAATATTTCATCCTTCCGTGAGCGACCAACCATAAAGCGAATGTCGACTTAGTTCGTTTGCTGTCGGAACAAGTATTGGTATTGACAAATCATAAGATTTTAAAAGGAGGCTACAAATAAGATATACATGACGAGGGTCGTATTCACTACAGTATTCTTGGTCTGCGAAACTTGCCTCGTGACTGTTCTACCAAAACCCGTTACCTAGTTATTTACCTCCGGCATCTCGACGTGGTGTAATGGTTAGCAAGCTTGTCTTACTAGATCTGTTACTACTGAAAAGTGAGTTCGATCCTCACTGGATGCTCCGTAATTTCGGCCTTGTGCCGCATCTAAGCTATGCTTAGAAAATCACTATTTACCAAGTCTGACTTCAGTGTAGGATAGCTGGTAAAGATCGAAACCATTATCGTCGTAATGATCTGCAAGAGTAGCTTTCTAGTCATTGTTCCACTATATGCAGAGTAGATATTTACAAAATGTTGTCTAACAGAAGAATACATTGCTAAGCACTGTTGCCCAACACTGCAACGCCTCTCAAAAACCCACAATAATTTTTTATTTTAGTGAAGCCTGACACGAAGCCACAATCATGGGTACCTATTTTGAGCAGAAAATAACACGGCAAGAATAGTTTGCGAGATTAGATTTTTTAAAATCATATCTTATCGCTTTTGTCTTTGTTTCGAATAAGTATTTCTCTAAAGTAAGAGTATTAAAAAAATCTCACGAACATTTGCACTTAAAAAAGGAAACCACCAAAGCAGTCGGTTAGTTGGTCAAGCATTAGGTACACTAGTAAATTGTAGGGCTGATAATTTGGCGATAAGTATTTTGTTCGAAATCATCGGAGATGATGGTGAATTCAACAATTTATTTTAGAAATCTTTTTTTTTATGTGGCAGGTGTGATTGTGCGAGCTGTAGTGAAATTATATTTTCTGCAAAGCGAAAATAGAGAGAGAGAAAGAGAAAAAGAGGAAACATTTTTGTCTGGCAAAGAAAATATTCAGTCCAATAAGGCAAAAATGTCAAGGGACATTTGGTCCGCGTTCGCGCGTCATAAATGTTGCGTCTCGATAGTAGGCAAGTACAACAAAGTACACTTCTGTATACCGGTAGACATCTTTGCAGGTGCGTTTCAGTATTGTCATTCATAAAGCTTGTCTGTTAAGTATGGCTGCTTAATACAAAATAATAAAACGTAGGTTCACAGTATCGTGATAGACAGTTCTTCTTGCCAGAATATTTCTTTCAAGTTTATAAATCTACCATTCGTATATACATCGAATATTGCCATCATATTTGCTCTGGTGCCCTTGCTGTATTTTACGAAATTCTCTACTAAACCCAAATAAAGGCCAGTAATGTTATCGGTCTATATTTTTAAGGCAATTGTCTTGATGAGATGTATATCCCTTGCACCTCGATCGCATGAATTTAAACGTACTGCTAGATTGGCAACTAGGTCTCATCATTTTACAGTTGAAATGGATATATGTAATAGTTATATGTGACGTAATTTCTCATCTAAAACGTTCTTCACCCGCACTTCTCGACTGTAGAACTCTCCCCAGGTTTTATTGCTTCCCTGTCATCTTGGAAATTTAAATGCAATTTCAATCGCCATTTCCCGTCTTCTTGAATTCTATTCTTTTATGGTCCGTTCTCTTAACTAGAGTCTTCTCCTTTTCTTTCACTCTCAGTAACCCCCTTCGCGTCTTAGTGACGCTATCGCCTTGCTTGGGGAGAAACAAGTAAAAAACATATATTAAAAGACCTCCCAAATCCTATCTTCTTCCTTCATCATTAATGTTTTTCCCAATCAAATAATGTCGATCTGCGCTTTGTTGTCCCATTGAGCCGGGCGCGGTATGTACGCTGATTCTTAGCCACCAAAGGATGTTTCCTATTATTTTGCCTTCATTATATAAAGTTTTATAGTGTTCTTTATTCTTGCATGCATTTTAAAGAAATGTTCAAACTATACGCACTCTCTAATTAGGGCTATATATATATATATATATATATATATATATATATATATATATATATATATATATATATGTATAGCTGGCCACTTGTATACGAGCATACCTGTCTACTAGGGCGGCTAGCCAATCCCTATTGCAGAAGCTTTCTCAGGCGCATTTTTCTTTATTTAACACCCACAGAGCCGTACTGTGGTTTATATTGCAACCAGACCTCAGTTACAGTTTTTATACATAATGGATGAATATTGTTAGTTCATCCATTAGAAAATATTTGGTTGCTGCATAATTATCAGGCATTTTTAAACAATATTTATTATGAAAAAAAGAAACTTAACATTCCGACAATAACATTTTTAAATGAGTAAGTTTATCGACACACATTCATATAACCTGAAAATAAAATTATATTTTTATTGAAAAAAGTAAACAAAACAGCAATTTTTATTAACAAATAACTCGCCTACAAAAACGCCTGAAAATTATGCACCAACTCAATTTATATGTATTGACCCAATGTTTACCGAAATAGAAATTTTATGTATGGATTTTATTTGAACCCCGCTGTTATATAAGAGCCAGCTCCGACCAAAATGGAGTATTGCTGCTCACTCCTCCCTTGCCTGTCTTGATCGAGTACAAAACCGTTTAGGTAGCCTTGTGGGTGATGAATTATTTTCCACAGACAAAACGTCAGAAGCCCCTTGCCGCTCTATTACTATTTCTATGGCATCTGTTCTAACGAGCTATCTTCCTTACATTCTGAAATTTGCAGCTAGGACCTGCCATGTACCTTACACAAGATGAATCCTCCTCATTCCTCCTCATTCCCTTTGTATTCCTTTAATAAGAAGTAAGTTCCACTCGGACAGCTTCTTCCCAAGAACTCCTGCTTTGTGGAACAGACTCCCGGTAAGGATGTTTTCCCGATCGTTACAATCTTAATCTCTTCAAGTCTAGGGTTAAACGTTATCTATCCAATAAAACCTCATGAACTGCACTTCTTTCCTTCTCTTACGCTCGTACATCGGCACAAAGTAACCTTCTATCTCGAGTGGCATTTGGGCCTTGTATCAGGGGAACAATAGTATAAAAAAGAAAAAATCATTTGCATGCTACACATCACGAGTGACATTAATACGATTAGTGCTAATATGAAATAATCGTGTGATCTGCGTAAATAATCGTGTGATCTGCGTAAAAAATATTGGCTTACGGACACATCACGTTGAAACACCGTACGATCACCGAAGTTAAGCAACATCGAGACTGGTCAGTATGGGTGAAGGTTTGGGAATACAAGGTTCTGTAAGCTTTGATGTGCGGATGGTGTAATGGATAATGACTAGGAATTGTTAATCGGAGAGCCGAGTTCCAATTATTGTTGGGTTCGTTATATTCACGCGCAAATACCCTTTGGAAAGGTATGAACCCACCTCCTGTCATCCTTTACCTATGGATTAATTAGCAAGACTTGTACGCATAAATAAACCGTTATTATTTAAAATATTTATGGCATTAAATAACCTGCAAATGGTTGATAAACCATAGAAAACTAATCAATAAAAAAACATTCGGACAAAAAGAAAAATAAGATTGCATTTTTAACTGTTAATTTTTGAGAGATCTTTATTAGTAATGAGAGCTACAAAGGACAAGAAAATTTGAAGAGCCGTGACTACCAATAGAGAAGGCGCATGTATGAAAATCGAACGAGACAGTTTTAAATCTCTCGAAAGACAATACATCTTGAACATATTTTATAGCAAATAAATAGGCTTTTTGTATCGTAAATAAATTCTTCCTGTAGCGTGTAACATAATACTTTGTGTATAATTTATATATGAAGAGTGGGATATGCTTTTATAATGCTTTTCATTTTTGTACATATTTTATAGGAAATAAATGGACTTCATTCTATTTTTGTGCAAAGCTATCCAAAAATGGTGAGAAAAACACAACTATCTCATATGAAGATTTAGATACCGTGTTTTTGTTTCCGTTATTTGCCGGAATACGGTAGCTCCTATAACCTGGGCCAGCCGTTAAAGTTAGCGAAAATACAGTGATAATATAATATTTACTACCACTTTGCTTCTGTTTTGTATATTTCATTCCCCTTTTCTTCTGTTTTGTATATTTCCTACCGCTTTTCTTATGTTTTATATATTTGCTTTCCCTTTTCTTTTGTTTTTTTTATATTTCCTTCCCTCTTTCTTCTGTTTTATATATTGCCTCCCCCTTTTCTTCTCTTTTGTATATTTCCTTCGCCTTTTCTACTTTTTTGTATATTTGCTACTCCTTTTCATCTGTTTTGTATATTTCCCACCCCTTTTCTTCTGTTTTCTGTATTTGCTTCCCCCTTTTTACTGTTTTGTATATTTCCTACCCTTTTTTCTGTTTTTATATTTCCTATCCATTTTCGTCTGTTTTGTACATTTCATACCCCTTTTCTGTTTTGTATATTTCCTTCCCTTTTTCTTCTGTTTTGTATACTTCCTACTCCTTTTCTTCTGTTTTGTATATTTCCTTCCCCTTTTATTCTGTTTTATATATTTCCTATCGCTTTTTTATGTTTTATATATTTGCTTTCCCTTTTTTTTTTTTTTAATTTCCTTCCCTCTTCCTTCTTTTTGTATATTTTCCCTTTTCTTCTGTTTTGTATATTTTTCGCCTTTTCTTCTGTTTTTCTTCGCCTTTTTTTTTTTTATATTTCCTTCGCCTTTTTTCTTCTTTTTGTATATTTGCTACTTCTTTTTTTCTGTTTTGTATATTTCCTTCCCCTTTTTCTGTTTTGCATATTTCCTTCCCCTTTTCTTCTGTTTTTATATTTCCTATCCATTTTCGTCTGTTTTGTACATTTCATACCCCTTTTCTGTTTTGTATATTTGCTTCCTCTTTTCTTCTGTTTTGTGTATTTGCTTCCCCGTTTTGTTCAGTTTTGCATATCTCCTATCAATTTCCTCCTATTTTGTATATTTCCTTCCCCTTTTCTTCTATTTTGTATATTTCCTTCCTCTTCTCTTCTGTTTTCTGTATTTGCTTCCCCTTTTTTTACTGTTTTGCATATTTCCTACCCTTTTTTCGGTTTTGCATATTTCCTTCCCCTTTTCTTTTTTTATATTTATTTCCCCTTTTCTTCTGTTTTGTATATTTCCTTCCCCTTTTCTTGTCTCTTCTATATTTGCTTCCCTTTTCTTCTCTTTTGTATATTTCCTTCCCCTTTACTTCTGTTTCGTATATTTCCTTCTCCTTTTCGTCTGTTTTGTATATTTGCTTCCCCTTTTCTTCTCTTTTGTATATTTCTTACCCCTTTTCATCTGTTTTGTATATTTAACCCTCTTTTCTTCTGCCTTGTATATTTCCCTCTCCTGTTAATTGATAGTACTTTTTTCCTGTCACACTGAATATAACTATTTTCTAGTTCTCAGCAAAATTCATATTTTAGATTATTATCTGTCTAGCACGAGGCATCATAATTTGAAGTCTCTAATGGTAAGTACGTACTTTTCTACACGTCGGTCAGTTGGAGCAAGGCGGGACGTGACTTGGCAGTGGCAATGATTTAAAAGGGAAACAGGAGGGGTAAAAGACATGAAATAAAGACAATCAGAACGCCATATAGATAGATTCAGGGGCCGAGAAGGAAAAACGGCAAGAAGGATAAAGCAAGAAACAAAAGCAAGGAAATATGGATGATCAATAAATACAAACAGGGTGTGAGTGAGTAACATACTAAGAGCACTAAGAGTAGGCAACACATATACACGCGCACGTACACAAGAGAGAAGAGTGTGGGAGAGAGAGAGAGAGAGAGAGAGAGAGAGGGGGGAGGGTGGCTGGCAGAATCTAGATAAAGAAAGTACAGGGTGTGCTGGATAAATTGTCGTTTAAATTAAGCCAAAATGAAAAAAACTGACATCTCATATATATATATATATATATATATATATATATATATATATATATATATATATATATATATATATATATATATATATTTATACACGTTTCATTAAATAATATAAACAAGTGTTGTCTATTTATTTTATGTAAAATTTTTTCGTATCTTCTGATAAGTTTGATAACATTATCATTAACCGAAAAAAGAAATTCACAATATTTATCCATTATTAAAACCCAACCTAAACAAAATCAACTATGGAATCTCTACAAATATTCTTAAATGTCTATAATTTCTATAATTGGTAACAGAAACCATTGGTTTATACCAACGGCTTTCCTTATTTCATTCTCCAATTCACTCTCGTGTAGTCATGTGTGACGTCATGAGATGCGGTGCGATTTTCGCTTCTAGCGTCTTATATGCGCGTGTTCATCGTTGCTTAGTGATCCACTATGTAAACTAAACAATGACAGACTATCATCACTGTCGTGTCCGTATATTGTTTGATATGTTTGTAATTACATCTTTGATAATGGCTTGAGTAAGCCGAAAGCTTAGATTATATTAAAAAAATAATGGATAAATATTGTGAATTTCTTTTTTCGGTTAATGATAATGTTATCAAACTTATCAGAAGATACGAAAAATTTTTACATAAAATAAATAGACAACACTTGTCTATATTATTTAATGAAACGTGTATAAATGAAAATATGCTGCCTAAATACACACAATATATATATATATATATATATAGGGTGACCCCAAAAAACGGGAACTTTTTAACAATCCAATAAAACCAAGAGCGATGAAAGAAAAATATTTTATTCATAGTAATTGAAACCTTAAAACATGCCATTTAAGAAACAATAATGGAATTTTTATTTTTTTTAAAATTACGTCCTGTAGATGGCGTCCTCCTGTACGAATGCATTCTTGAAATCTGCTGTTTAGATTCCTCATTGACTGCTGCAACACCTCAGCTGGGATAATGTGAATTTCATCTTGAATTCTAAATCGCGAAATGTTTACTTGCTCAAGGTCACTATCTCGCAGTGTTGCCACTTGCTCATGTCTGGCAATACGCACTTCAAAAATTCCTGTTTTTTGCGTCACCCTATATATATATATATATATATATATATATATATATATATATATATATATAACATATACCAAAAATTACACGAAGATAAAAATAATACTGACATCCCATTTTAATAGATATATTTAGCAAAATTACACAAAAATATCTTGAAATGCTAAAAAGTAAATTCATTCATTAAAATTGCCATTGGCTTCAACTACGTCCTCCTTGTTTAATTTGGTGAATGCTGTCATAATTTTTCCCTTGAGTGCATTTTTGGTATTACAAGGAATTTTGTTCTCTCGTTCAACTGCACCCCACACATCATAATCAAGGGGGTTGCCGTCTGGGGTGTTAGGTGCCCAAATATAAGGGGTGATGTGCTCGCAATAATAGACTAACAGTCAGGACTGTATTCTCCTGGCTGTTTGCCATAGCGCAGAGTCCTGTTACCAGACATAGGGTCATCAAGCAGCAACCCTCTTGACCAAGGGCAGCACTACCTCATCAAAGCTATTGATGTAAGCCTTCGTGTTGAGTCTAAGGCCCTGTGATGAGTGGAGACATAACGTCGACATCACTAGTGATCACTCCAAACACTATGATGTTGACTGGATATTTGGTTTTCATCACTCTCGGCACAACGTTTAGGAACACAGCATCCTCTGCACTGTCCTCAGATTGATTCCCAAACACTATGAAATGTTCGTATTGGCGACTCCGGCATGAATGCCAAGCAGTACAGTATGCCTTTTCCAAATTTCTGGCAGTGTGAATTGTGTCATGGTTGCTCTGTTTCTCGCAGACGGTGTCCAGCTGACCCTACTATACTGTGCAGTCGACAAAATCAAAAACAAATAACGCGCATGCGCAAAAATTAAAAATATAAAATGGCGACATCATGCCCAGTATTTGTTTTACAGTAAAGTTCACCCAGTACGAGGCCCGGGGGAAACTCAAGGTAGAGAGTTACGTTAACGAACAGTTTATACGGATAAGAGGGGAAGGTAACGGCTAACTCTAGACTCTAAGTGGTTAAGATTGTAGTGATCGGAGAAAACATGCTTTTTGGAAGTCGATTCCACAGAGTAATGGTTTGCGGATGGAACTTACTTCCCACCGATAGAATATTGTGGTAATGTGGGTGCTAAATAGTAAGTGAAGGTGAATCCTAGCCGCGGATGTTAGAACTGGCGGGACCAAAGAATGTGGTTCATCCGAGCATTTTCCATGCAAGTAGTGATAGAGCAGTTAGAGGTTCGTCAAATTGTGAGCGAGTTTTGGAGTGGGGGTAAATAATTCGACACCCATAACGACTCTGAGATGTTTTTTTTTTTTTAAACTCTATCCAGACCGGAAAGTGAGTACTGGATAGCTTTCGCCCAAATATGACAACAGTAGTCCATTTTCGGCCTGATCTGGCACTTGTAAAGTCAGAAGATAACATGTGGAGTCGTGTACTTGCTATAGGGGCACAGGATGGTAGTCCATTTTCGGCCTGATCTGGCTCTAGTAAAGTCAGAGGATAACATGTGGAGTCGGTTAATTTCTATAGTGGTACAGAAGGGTAGTCCATTTTCGGCCTGATCTGGTACCTTGTAAAGTTAGAGGATAACATATGGAGTCGTGTACTTGCTATGGGTACACGACGGTAGTCCATTTTCAGCCTGAACTGGCTCTTGTAAAGTCAGAGGATAGCTTGTGGAGTCATGTACTTGCTATATTGGTAGAGGACGGTAGTCCATTTTCGGCCTGAATTGGCTCATGTAAAGTCAGAGCATAGCTTGTGGAGTCGTGTACTAGCTATAGCAGTACAGGACGGTAGTCCATTTTCGCCCTGATCTGTCTCTTAAAAAGTCAGAGGATAGCTTGTGGAGTCGTGTACTTGCTATAGCGGTACAGGGCGGATCGTATGTAATGAGTTCCACTTTGAAGCCCAACATCCTCTCAAAGCACTGTGCCTCGCGATGAGACACTCGTTCATTGAGACTGGCGGTTCTTCGAGGTCCCATCGGTAGTGATGGAATGTAACTAGTTTGGTTTTCGAGGTATTGATTGTAACCAGCCAGTTTTCCCCCCAGTGGGAAATTAGTACTAGTTCGGAAGAGAGATCAGTTGCCAGTGCCCGATCGCCATTTCATCGGCAGAGATGTTTACAAATGATATGAGTATATTCTTAGGCAGATAATTTATGTAAACCAGGGCCCTGTTCATTACTAACTTCAGGGGTCTACCTGCTAGGAAAGATTTTATAATTGAGGAGATCCTTCCAGTGATTCCATAGCTGGAGAGCTTGTGTAATAAACCCTTGTGCCACACCTTGTCGAAGGACTTCGAAATAATGCTATAGTCTTCGAGATGTGTTTGACGTCAAGTACCTCACTAATTCTGTTTGTAATGGTAGCAGTGGATCGGGCCGATCAAAACCAGTACTGCCCGCCGCACAAGAGGTTGTTCCTCTCTAGTTATTCGACGACCTTCTTAATCATAGCGTCAAAAGATTACTGATGCTATTGAGGAGACTGCGAGAAGGAAATATCGCTCGTACACGTTCTAGAAGACCAAGCATGCCTTGACTCTTTCCGCGAGCCTGTGAAGTTTTCTCCTTCAGGCAGCGGTTAAATGACTTCTCTCGGATCAGGAATAATTCCAGGTTAAGATTCTTCAGGAGTTCTGAATTTTATCTGGGGCCAGTGGCTATATTAGGTCAATTCTTTTGATGTCTAGATACTTCTCGTGCTGAAATGAAGATATTTTTCGGAGAGTGCTCAGTGAGACGTGCTAAGATGGGGAAGAGAATGCCCTTTGTCATATAACGTTGAATTTGAGACAAAGATCGAAGGAAGTGGTTTAGCTTGTCTGTCAAGGAAGATATGACCTCAGGACCATTTATAATAGCTGAACCAGCTGCTTTTCCTCTGTTCGTGATTTTGTTGTTGATCTTTCAGAATTTGCGAGGTTCAATTTTTTTTTCTTTTCGACCTTGCTCTAGACTTCTTCTCCGTAACTACATTTAGCGTTTTCCATAACTTTCTTGCAATTATTGAGGGCGGTTTTGAAAGCACTAAGGGCCAGCCTACACAGATCCTTGCGATAGGTGTTGAAGTTGTCGTTCCGGTGAGCTATGGCCTCAACGCATTTAGCGGGGGGGGGATCAGAAATCTTCCATTCCCAAACAGAAACAGTAGTTTTTGGAGGCAGCACGCCTGAAAAATGTTGAGAGGATCGTCCGTCTATAGGGCCGAAAGTTCTCCCAGTTTACGTTTGCGTAACGAAAAATTGTCTTGGGTTTGGCATCAATCTTGACATTGACTAAGGAATAGTCTGACGTTGCTAGGGGTGTGGTAAAACTTTTGCTAAATATTTATCAGAGCAGAATGTTAA